GATCATATTCGAATGACTGAGGTTTATTTGATACAACCTAAGTGAGATGGAAGGCATGGGATTATGATAGTTAATTCCGACACTTCATTCACGAGCCTTTTCGTGCCCTATCGGCATGTAAGTGGTCGCTGAAGTCTTTTTTACCGATAGCTACTACACAACAAATATAATAAACTTATAGCGTTCTTTGGTTGAATTAAATGATAATTTTAATTATTATAATTTGTAATTCCTTTATTATTGTGGGAAACAAAAATCGATCCCAAGGATCTCATCCTTGAACAACACGGTCTCACCTCCTTTACCCTCAGGCTGTGATAACACTTCATTCCATATTGCAATTCCCAATATCGTCTGTGTTTTACTTCTGTTTGCAAACAAATCCTTCATTGACGGTATCATCACCGATACCCAACTGGCGTCATTCTGCTATAGACAAGAGGAAATATGGTTGATCGTGGAATGAAATTAGGGTGGCCAACACGTCGATCGTCGCGTCTCGAGTAGTCGATCGCGTCAGCTGTTTAGTGGATTTGATAACAAATCTAAAAAAATGGTTCGAACCAAGTTTCATGCAGCGCATGTTTTGTATTTTAATTAACGTGAGCAGCGAAATATTAACATCTTCTGGCGCTGATTGATCAAAGAGTCCTTGAGTGTCCATAAGAAGAACAGCCAGCTGAAAATTTGAATATGGGTTTACATGTAAATCGTACAAATTACTCGTAGTCCGGGGAATGATAACAAGTTGCGCGCCAATTCATATCAGTAGACATAAACGTGTTCCATGTTACTGTCAGTCATGTATCGTATACGCCCAACTCTCAGATTTCTGCTAAGCGTTAGAAGTACGTTTTCCACCGCATCTCTGAATTTGCATGTTAGAATATCGTGGGTGATAATTATGTGCAAGAAGATGTCTGACTTGCCACCGTAGGTAGGGTGGTTCCCGTTGCCCTTATCGGTTACAGCTCCCTCTTCTACCAATTTCATGCATCTGAAACACATAAATGACTGGCTGATTAATTCCACAACCGACCATGGACTAGTGCCGGTCGAGAAGCCGAGGTATGCCATATAAATAAGTCGTCTTATGGATTTTTCTCTCCACGTGGTAAATATATAATCCTATCCTATCCTACTACACAAAATACCATTTGCATTTCCTAGGTTACAAAATTTTATCGTTGGCTGTGTTAACTCGACTTGTTCAATTTCCGTGTCAACTGCTATTTACTGATAAGCCTCGCAGAACATTTAAGGCTCTGTGTAAGCTCCTCAGGCGAAGAATCAATATATTTAGGAAGGGCTTGGAAGATTTTGTTCTTACGCATTAATCTAACTATTGGACCTAGTCATTCAAAACTCATCCACACGAATAAAAAAAGTGATATAAACAAGAAAACTTTTAACAAGATATCTTATGGGGAAAGTGTCACCAGAAAAGAAATTTGATGCTCATATAGTTATGATGCTCTAATGTTCCTAAAAGATCTGATGTTAAAATAGTTTATTATCCGAATGGATTGGATTTGAATGACAGAAGTTATTCGATCCATTTGAGGAGGAAAGGCATGTCATGTCAACAGATAAGGCTGCCTGACCATATCGAGATGTAGAGTCGCTTCATACTGTGACCAGACCACGTTGGAACGAGAATTTGAAACTCGAGTAGATGGAATATACACATCGCCTTCCCAATCATAAAAAATAACTCACCATCAATAGCTCGGTGATATCTCTTATATTGAAATTGAGTAAAACGATTTCCAGTTCTTATTCGTCCAGGTATCGTTATGTTTGCCGAGGGCGATCACCGATCGCAGGTCTAGAGCACCATCGTCATGGTTCTCATTTTGTCATCTTTCTTCCTGTTATCAGAGTACTCGGTAAATTTTCCAACTAAAAAAATTTTTAAATTTGTTAATGCAAGATATTGGAATAGTATTCGTACTTTTCCTTATGCAGTAATTATTGCTAATAATCAAGCCATATTTAAACAAATCCAGACTTATTTATAACTTGTTTTAAAAGAAGCATTAGTTTTTAAGCTATAAATGTGTTTTTTCCATTCGTAATGACAACAAAACAACTGTTTTAAACGCAGGCGCCAAAACGCTTAATTATAGTTTTTTAACGCATGGTGTTCCAAAAGAATTATACCAATCTGTGGGTTTCGTTTATTTTGTGGGTTTCGTTTATTTGAAAAGCTATTTTGTGGCATTTACAGTGTCTCCAAGTTCGTACGTCTTCTTGTCAACATCACTTTGGATCTGTTATAGTCCGATTCATAGATAATCCGATGTTTTAAGACTCGCTAATAATAATCCTTTATCTACTCGTATATACTAAACCAATCGAGATAGATGAAAATTCGCGCTTTCATAGCCTGGATAATATCGAAATCGAAGCAAGTCTGTGGAGAGATTCTTTGATATATTGCTAGTGGCGCTTTTATCAGGTTATTAGGAGGCAAAAGATGCGATTAAGTATCGTATTAAGCCATTGTTAAATCAAAATTTGCTTCTCCCCCCAAAACAAAATTTAGAGGTTGGCTTACAGTCACTGTTTCACGTAAATGTATGGCACGGAATATTAGTGTGCCCAAATCTGACTGTATATCAGCGATTAAAAATGTTTTTACGTCAAACGTTTAAATAGTATTTCACCGTTACCTCAACACCCGTCTAAAAGTATCGTTTGTTTAACGTTTAAATAGCATTTCACCGTAACTTCAATACTGTTAATATTCGATTTCCCTGAAGGTTTAGATTTGGGTTACAACGAGAGAATGACTTTATCTAGTCTTGCTTTATTAGACTGACGGATTTGTAGTCGTTTACTAATGCAAGCATTTCGAAACCGAGGGTTAATTAACCATTAAGCAATATAAGCACTTGCCTAGAGAACCAAAGAAAGGGGGCAGTGCATAAATTTTTTTGAAAGATTTTATATAGGGCATCAGTGTTTAATGAAATGATTGGTCAGCTTGGTTAGTCGATTCAGACCTCAATATTTTGCCGGTTGAGATAAATTTTGCTTGATTATATTACCCAAATATCACCTTAACCCTTTCTATAAATGTTTGTAGAACTATTATAAAAAAAATATCATGTAAATTAAATTAGCCTTCAACAGTAAGGAATTTTTGAAACTTGCTTTTTCAAAATTTAGTTAACACGAAACATTAGTTACATTAATATTATTAGTATGTTTTATATATAGGGCACCAAAGTCCTAGAGGCAATGATCAGGGTTTGGTTGTATTGACAATATGTCTCCAGCTAATCAGTGGTCAAGACCATTCAAGTAAAAAGGACTTTATATATATATATAACAGTATATACACAGATATACAGTGTAATCAATAGCGTTTTACTGTGTATTAGTTACAGTGTAGAGCACAGCCGACTATCAAAAATACAGAAATATTTGGGAAAACGTTCTGCGTATTTCTACTCCCAAACAAATGTTCTCTAGCTAGCTAGCCATTTCCAATTTTCAAAAATAAGCAGAGTTTTTGCAAAAACAGCTCACAAATTATGAATGTTTTAGGAAATAAAATAAGTGTAAAATACTGCTCTAAAACGTTCCGCGAATTTTACCTCCAAAACAACTGTCCTCGCTAGCTAGTCGTTTCCTATTTTCTAAAATAAGCCAAGTCTTTGCGAAAACATTCCACAAATTATGAATATTTTAGTAAATGAAATTAAGTGTAAAGTACTGCTTGAAACGTTCCGCGAATTTCCATTTCCGCAACTATTGTTCTCGTTAGCTAGACTCGCGCCAAAATTTTGCAAAAGCAGCCTCAAATTATGATTATTTCTGAAAATGAAATAATTTCGCTTTATTCAATTCAACCTTTTGACCCGCATTAATTTTGCTTCATTTCAATGGTTAAGAAATGGCCTAGCTTAATACTAATGGTTAGAAACATATTCTTATATTTATGTTTTCCATTTATAATCATTTATTTTCTCAATGCTGTTATAAAGCGTCAGTTTAATTACTTTTCATATTTGATTTCACTGTGGGTATTAGTTTAAAGTGATGACCGTACATTCGAACCCACGTACATTTGAACCATGTACATATGAACCCATGTGTATATCCGCGGGTTCAATCTAAATGCGGCTGCTAAAACCCATGGGTTAGGGTCACGGGTTCAGATATCCGTGAAACAAAAAAAATTTCATAGGTGCATTAGTATGCAGGTGCACTTGCCGTGGGTTCAGATGTACGTGGTTCAAATGTAATGGAACCGTTTAAAATACAGTGAGAGAATCTATTTAATCTTGCTCTATTAGTTTCACAGATTCTTAGGCGTTCAATAATGCAAGGATGTTGCAGCCAGGGATGAATTAACCAGTAAGCAAACTAGGAACTTGCCTATGGCACCAAGGAAATGGGGCACCGCAGAAATTTTCATATACACTTTTCGATAGTGCCTCAGTGTTTAATGGAAAAGATTGGTCAGCTTTGAAAGACGACTAACCAACTATTGGACCTTGATCATTCAAAACCCATCCCACGCGGATTAAATGAAAGTGGCTTGAACAAAACAAGTTTAATAAGAGATATTTGTGTTCGCCAGCGAGGAAATTTGATGCTCATACAGTTCTGGTTCCTATAAGATCTGATGTTAGAATAGTCTTGTTTTATCCGCATGGGATCATATTCGAATGACTGAGGTTTATTTGATACAACCTAAGTGAGATGGAAGGCATGGGATTATGATAGTTAATTCCGACACTTCAACCACGAGCCTTTTCGCGCCCTATCGGCATGTAAGTGGTCGCTAAAGTCTTTTTTACCGATAGCTACTACACAACAAATACAATAAACTTATAGCGCTCTTTGGTTGAATTAAATGATAATTTTAATCAATATAATTTGTAATTCCTTATTATTGTGGGAAACAAAAATCGATCCCAAGGATCTCATCCTTGAACAACACGGTCTTACCTCTTCTTTACCACCAGGCTGTGATAACACTTCATTCCATATTGCGATTCCCAATATCGTCTGTGTTTTACTTCGTTCACAAACGAATCCTTCATTGACGGTTTCATCACAGCCTACCCAACTGGCGTCATTCTGCTATAGACAAGAGAAAATATGGTTGATCGTAGAATGAAACTAGGGTGGCCACACGTCGATCGTCGCGTCTCGAGTAGTCAATCGCGTCAGATGTTAAGTGAATTTGATAACAAATCTAAAAAAAATGGTTCGAATCATGTTTCATGCAGTGCATGTTTTGTATTTTAATTAACGTGAGCAGCGAAATATTAAAATCTTCTGGCGCTGATTGATCAAAGAGTCCTTGAGTGTCCATAAGAAGAACAGTCAGCTGAAAATTTGAATATGGGTTTACATGTAAATCGAAATTTTGCTGTGAAATAATATATTGTTAATAAAAGAAAACGTTGTTACGTATTTGGGAACTTTTGTTTGTGTATGACTAGATTCCCATTGCATAATCAGGTGTCGGCTTTGTTGCGTACAAATTATACCTGACTGTGCGTGAGATCAAAGCAGAATATTTTAATACCGACAGACGATAAGTGTCGACAAATTACTCGTAGTCTGGGGAATGATAACAAGTTGCGCGCCAATTCATATCAGTAGACATAAACGTGTTCCATGTTACTGTCAGTCATGTATCGTATACGCCCATGTCTCAGATTTCTGCTAAGCGTTAGAAGTACGTTTTCCACCGCATCTCTGAATTTGCATGTTAGAATATCGTGGGTGATAATTATGTGCAAGAAGATGTCTGACTTGCCACCGTAGGTAGGGTGGTTCCCGTGGCCGCTTATCGGTTACAGCTCCCTTTTGTACCAATTTCATGCATCTGAAACACATAAATGACTGGCTGATTAATTCCACAACCGACATGGACTAGTGGCCGGTCGAGAAGCCGAGGTATGCCATATAAATAAGTCGTCTTATTGGATTTTCTCTCCACGTGGTAAATATATAAATCCTATCCTATCCTACTACACAAAATACCATTTGCATTTCCTAGGTTACAAAATTTTATCGTTGGCTGTTAACTCGACTTATTCAATTTCGTGTCAACTGCTATTTACTGATAAGCCCGCGAGAACATTTAAGGCTCTGTGTAAAGCTCTCAGCGCGAAGAATCAATATATTTTAGGAGGGCTTGGAAGATTTTTGTTCTTTCGCATTATCCAACTATTGGACTTTAGTCATTAAAGACTAATCCCACACGGATAAAATAAAAGTGACATGAACAAAACAATTTTAACAAGATATCTTATGGGGAAAGTGTTCACCAGAAAATAAATTTGATGCTCATATAGTTATGGTGCTTATAATGTTTCTAAAAGATCTGATGTTAAAATAGTTTTATCCGAATGGGATTGGATTTGAATGACAGAAGTTTATTCGATCCATTTGAGGAGGAAGGCATGTCATGTCAACATATCATATCGAGATGTACAGTCGCTCATACTGTGACCAGTCAACGGTGGAAACGAGAATTTGAAACTCGAGTAGATGGGACATGCAACATCACCTTTCCAATCATAAAAAACTAACTCACCATCATAGCTCGGTGATATCTCTTATATTGAAATTGAGTAAAAACGATTTCCAGTCCTTATTCGTCCAGGTATCGTTATGTTTGCCGAGGGCGATCACCTATCTCGGGTCCTAATATGACGGTCTTGGTCTATTCTCATTTTGTCATCTTTCTTTCCTGTTATCAAGTACTGGGTAACTTTTCCATCTACAAAAAATTATTGAAGTTATTAATGCAAGATATTTAATAGTATTTGTAATTTTCCTTATGCAGTCATTATTGCTAATAATCAAGCCATATTTTAACACACTAGACTTATTCATAACTGTTTTTAAAAAAACATTATAAATGTGTGTTTTCATTCAAGAGCGGGAAAGTTTTTACAGTAAAGTTGTAGTTACTTCTGTGGTCATAAAACAATATATAAACAATTTACTTCGAAATTTAAAAAATTTGGTTTTACGACTCGGGTGTTGTCATACACGTACGCTTGCTTTTAGGCCTAAGCATTAGAATCAGTCAATGTGCAAGTATCTTGAGACAATCAAAAATGTTTAAAAACCATTAACATCAACAACAGAGCAATGCTCAAATACACGGACACAAATTATATCAAATCTTATACAGTACGGGTAGTCTGATCGCCAGATCAGTGAGATGTGATCACGGAACCGCACGAAACCATTTTTAATTTTGATGACGTCTTCACACAAAGCTTCGGAGTAAAAAACGAAACCCATGATAATAACCCTCTGGTGGCAACAACAATCTGTATCCACCGAAAAATTCAAAGCAATTGGTCCAGTATTTAAACAGAAAAGAGATTTAACCACAACCACAACATAACAAAAAAATGATACATAGGTCCAATTCGCGTCCATAATAGCTATAACAACTGTTTCAAACGAGACACCAAAACGCCTAATTATAGTTTATTCAACACATGGTGTCCCCAAAAAAATGAATACCAATCTTGTGGTTTCGTTCATTTTGGGACATCCTGTACATCAAATTCTTGTTATTAATCCGGCACTGTAAATGTCGAATGTGGCATTTACAGTGACTCGCAAATTCGAACATCTTATTGTCAAGATCATTTTGCTCTATTCTTGGTCGATTCATAGATAACGCGATGTTTTTAGACTCGCTAATAATAATCCTTTATCTATATACTAAACCAATCGAGATAGATGAAAATTCGCGCTTTCATAGCCTGGATAATATCGAAATCGAAGCAAGTCTGTGGAGAGATTCTTTGATATATTGTAAGATATCAGTGGCTGCTTTTATCAGGATTATTAGGAGCAAAAGACGCGATTAAGTGTCGTATTAAGCCATATTAAATCAAAATTTGTTTCTCCCTTCAAAAAAATAGGGTTTGGCTCACAGTCACTGTTTTACGTAAATGTATGGCATGGAATGTGTGCCCAAATCTGTATATCAGCGATTAAAATAAATTGTAACCGTCAATAGCAACCGCGGAACTATTTGAAAATATTGAATTTACGGCAAAATGTTTAACGACTGTCTCTTTTTAACAGTACTATTGAAAAACGTCAGAAGTATACATCAGTAGTATTTTACCGTTACATCAATAAAGCATCCTTTGTTAAACGTTTAAATAGCCCCTCAATGTTACTTCAATACGGGTAATATTCGATTTCATCGAAGGTATTAGTTTGGGTTAGGGTTAACCATTAAACAAAAAAAGCATTTGCTTATGGCACCAAGGAGAAGGACAACGCCGAAATTTTCATAGACGATTTTCAATATTGCCTGCCTCAGAGTTTAATGAAATAATTGGTCGGATTGGAAAGACGATTCAGGCCTCAATATCGGTCTGGTTGAGATAATGTTTGCTTGTTTTTCTTTTCCAAAAATCATCTTAACCTCGCTATAAATGTTTGTAGAACTATTTCGAAAAAATATCATGTAAATTGAATTGACCTTTAATCAATAATGAAGTCTGAAACTTGCTTATTCAATTTCAGATAACAGGGAACACTAGTTTCATTCCTATTATTAGTATGTATTATATATAGGGTATACCAAAAACCTAGAGGCAATGATACTGCCTTGGTTGTATCAACAATATATTCCCAGCTAATCAGTAAGTATTCTTTCAAGACCATTCAAGTAAAGATGGCTATATTGTGTAATTAATGGCATTTTACTGTTTTTTAGTTACAAGTTACAATGTAAGGCGACTATTCAGCATTCAGCAATATTTGCGAAAAACGCTCTGCGTATTTCTACTTCCAAATAATCGTTCTCAATATAGCTAGTCGTTTCCAATTTTCTAAAATAAGCAGAGTTTTTGCAAAAACATCTCACAAATTATGAATGTTTTAGGAAATAAAATTAGTGTAAAGTACTGCTCGAAACGTTCTGCGAATTTTTTTTTAGTGATTGCTCTCGTTAGCTAATTGTTTCTAGTTTTCTGAAAAAAGCCGAGGTTTTGCAAAAATAGCTCACAAATTATGCATGTTTTATAAAATAAAATAAGTGCAATGAACTGCTTGAAACGTTCTGCGAATTTCTACCTCCGAAACAATCGTTTTCTCTAGCTAGCCTTAAGCCGAGGCGCAAAAATTGGTCACAAATTATGAATATTTTAGTAAATGAAATTACGTGTTAAGTACCGCTTGAAACGTTCCACGAATTTCCATTTCCGCAACTATTGTTCTCGTTAGCTAGAATCGCGCCAAAATTTCGCTTTATTCAATTCAACCTATTGACCCGCATTAATTTTGCTTCATTTCAATGGTTAAGAAATGGCCTAGCTTAATACTAATGGTTAGAAACATATTCTTATATTTATGTTTTCCATTTATAATCATTTATTTTCTCAATGCTGTTATAAAGCGTCAGTTTAATTACTTTTCATATTTGATTTCACTGTGGGTATTAGTTTAAAGTGATGACCGTACATTCGAACCCACGTACATTTGAACCATGTACATTTGAACCCATGTGTATATCCGCGGGTTCAATCTAAATGCGGCTGCTAAAACCCATGGGTTAGGGTCACGGGTTCAGATATCCGTGAAACAAAAAAAATTTCATAGGTGCATTAGTATGCAGGTGCACTTGCCGTGGGTTCAGATGTACGTGGTTCAAATGTAATGGAACCGTTTAAAATACAGTGAGAGATTCTATTTAATCTTGCTCTATTAGTTTCACAGATTCTTAGGCGTTCAATAATGCAAGGATGTTGCAGCCAGGGATGAATTAACCAGTAAGCAAACTAGGAACTTGCCTATGGCACCAAGGAAATGGGGCACCGCAGAAATTTTCATATACACTTTTCGATAGTGCCTCAGTGTTTAATGGAAAGATTAGTCAGCTTTGAAAGACGACTAACCAACTATTGGACCCTGATCATTCAAAACCCATCCCACGCGGATTAAATGAAAGTGGCTTGAACAAAACAAGTTTAATAAGAGATATTTGTGTTCGCCAGCGAGGAAATTTGATGCTCACACAGTTCTGGTTCTTATAAGATCTAATGTTAGAATAATCTTGTTTTATCCGCATGGGATCATATTCGAATGACTGAGGTTTATTTGATACAACCTAAGTGAGATGGAAGGCATGGGATTATGATAGTTAATTCCGACACTTCATTCACGAGCCTTTTCGTGCCCTATCGGCATGTAAGTGGTCGCTGAAGTCTTTTTTACCGATAGCTACTACACAACAAATATAATAAACTTATAGCGTTCTTTGGTTGAATTAAATGATAATTTTAATTATTATAATTTGTAATTCCTTTATTATTGTGGGAAACAAAAATCGATCCCAAGGATCTCATCCTTGAACAACACGGTCTCACCTCCTCTTTACCCTCAGGCTGTGATAACACTTCATTCCATATTGCAATTCCCAATATCGTCTGTGTTTTACTTCTGTTTGCAAACAAATCCTTCATTGACGGTATCATCACCGATACCCAACTGGCGTCATTCTGCTATAGACAAGAGGAAATATGGTTGATCGTGGAATGAAATTAGGGTGGCCAACACGTCGATCGTCGCGTCTCGAGTAGTCGATCGCGTCAGCTGTTTAGTGGATTTGATAACAAATCTAAAAAAATGGTTCGAACCAAGTTTCATGCAGCGCATGTTTTGTATTTTAATTAACGTGAGCAGCGAAATATTAACATCTTCTGGCGCTGATTGATCAAAGAGTCCTTGAGTGTCCATAAGAAGAACAGCCAGCTGAAAATTTGAATATGGGTTTACATGTAAATCGTACAAATTACTCGTAGTCCGGGGAATGATAACAAGTTGCGCGCCAATTCATATCAGTAGACATAAACGTGTTCCATGTTACTGTCAGTCATGTATCGTATACGCCCAACTCTCAGATTTCTGCTAAGCGTTAGAAGTACGTTTTCTACCGCATCTCTGAATTTGCATGTTAGAATATCGTGGGTGATAATTATGTGCAAGAAGATGTCTGACTTGCCACCGTAGGTAGGGTGGTTCCCGTTGCCCCTTATCGGTTACAGCTCCCTCTTCTACCAATTTCATGCATCTGAAACACATAAATGACTGGCTGATTAATTCCACAACCGACATGGACTAGTGGCCGGTCGAGAAGCCGAGGTATGCCATATAAATAAGTCGTCTTATTGGATTTTCTCTCCACGTGGTAAATATATAAATCCTATCCTATCCTACTACACAAAATACCATTTGCATTTCCTAGGTTACAAAATTTTATCGTTGGCTGTTAACTCGACTTATTCAATTTCGTGTCAACTGCTATTTACTGATAAGCCCGCTAGAACATTTAAGGCTCTGTGTAAAGCAACCAGTGCGTGGAACCACTATATTATGGAAGGGCTTGAAAGAATTTTGTTCTTTCGCATAATCCAACTATTGGACCTGAGTCATTCAAAACTCATCCCACACGGATAAAATAAAAGTGACATAAACAAAACAATTTTAACAAGATATCTTATGGGGAAAGTGTTCACCAGAAAAGAAATTTGATGCTCATATAGTTATGGTGCTTATAATGTTCCTAAAAGATCTGATGTTAAAATAGTTTTATCCGAATGGGATTGGATTTGAATGACAGAAGTTTATTTGATCCATTTGAGGAGGAAGGCATGTCACGTCAACAGATAAGGCTGCCTAACCATATCGAGATGTAGAGTCGCTCATACTGTGACCAGACCACGTTGGAACGAGAATTTGAAACTCGAGTAGATGGAATATACAACATCGCCTTCCCAATCATAAAAAATAACTCACCATCATAGCTCGGTGATATCTCTTATATTGAAATTGAGTAAAAACGATTTCCAGTTCTCATTCGTCCAGGTATCGTTATGTTTGCCGAGGGCGATCACCTATCTCGGGTTCTAATATGACGGTCATGGTCTATTCTCATTTTGTCATCTTTCTTTCCTGTTATCAAAGTACTGAGTAACTTTTCCATCTACAAAAAATTATTGAATTTGTTAATGCAAGATATTGAATAGTATTAGTACTTTTCCTTATGCAGTAATTATTGCTAATAATCAAGCCATATTTAAACAAATCCAGACTTAGTTATAATTGTTTTAAAAGAAGCATTAGTTTTTAAGCTATAAATGTGTTTTTCCATTCGTAATGACAACAAAACAACTGTTTTAAACGAGGCGCCAAAACGCTTAATTATAGTTTTTTAACGCATGGTGTTCCAAAATATATTAATACCAATCTTATGAGTTTCGTTTATTTAAAAAGCGATTTTGTGGCATTTACAGTGATCCCAAGTGCGTACGTCTTCTTGTGAACATCACTTTAATCTGTTATAGGTCGATTCATAAATAACCCGATGATTTGAGACTCGCTATTAATATTGCTTTATCTACTGATCCAATCGAGATAGATGAAAATTCGTGCTTTCATAGCCTGGATAATATCGAAATCGAAGCAAGTCTGTGGAGAGATTCTTTGATATATTGCTAGATATCAGTGGCTGCTTTTATCAGGATTATTAGGATAAAAGACGCGATTAAGTGTCGTATTAAGCCATGTTAAATCAAAATTTGCTTCTCCCTCAAAAACAAATAGGGATTGGCTCACAGTCACTGTTTTACGTAAATATATGGCATGGAATGTTTGTGTGCCCAAATCTGACTGTATATCAGCGAATAAAAATGTTTTTACGTCAAACGTTTAAATATTATTTCACCGTTACCTCAACACCGTCTAAAAGTATCGTTTGTTTAACGTTTAAATAGCATTTCACCGTAACTTCAATACTGTTAATATTCGATTTCCCTGAAGGTTTAGATTTGGGTTACAACGAGAGAATGACTTTATCTAGTCTTGCTTTATTAGTCTGACGGATTTGTAGTCGTTTACTAATGCAAGCATTTTGAAATCGAGGGTTAATTAACCATTAAGCAATATAAGCACTTGCCTAGAGAACAAAGAAAGGGGGCAGTGCATAAATTTTTTTGAAAGATTTTATATAGTGCATCAGTGTTTAATGAAATGATTGGTCAGCTTGGTTAGTCAGTTCAGACCTCAATATTTGCCGGTTGAGATAAATTTTGCTTGAATATATTACCCAAATATCACCTTAACCCTTTCTATAAATATTTGTAGAACTATTATGAAAAAAAATATCATGTAAATTAAATTAGCCTTCAACAGTAAGGAATTTTGAAACTTGCTTTTTCAAATTTAGTTGACACGAAACATTAGTTACATTAATATTATTAATATGTTTTATATATAGGGCACCAAAGTCCTAGAGGCAATGATCAGGGTTTGGTTGTATTGACAATAGGTCTCCAGCTAATCAGTGGTCAAGACCATTTAAGTAAAAAGGACTGTATATATATATATAACAGTATATACACAGATATACAGTGTAATCAATAGCGTTTTACTGTGTATTAGTTACAGTGTAGAGCACAGCCGACTATCAAAAATACAGAAATATTTGGGAAAACGTTCTGCGTATTTCTACTCCCAAACAAATGTTCTCTAGCTAGCTAGCCATTTCCAATTTTCAAAAATAAGCAGAGTTTTTGCAAAAACAGCTCACAAATTATGAATGTTTTAGGAAATAAAATAAGTGTAAAATACTGCTCTAAACGTTCCGCGAATTTTACCTCCAAAACAACTGTCCTCGCTAGCTAGTCGTTTCCTATTTTCTAAAATAAGCCAAGTCTTTGCGAAAACATTCCACAAATTATGAATATTTTAGTAAATGAAATTAAGTGTAAAGTACTGCTTGAAACGTTCCGCGAATTTCCATTTCCGCAACTATTGTTCTCGTTAGCTAGACTCGCGCCAAAATTTTGCAAAAGCAGCCTCAAATTATGATTATTTCTGAAAATGAAATAATTCGCTTTATTCAATTCAACCTTTTGACCCGCATTAATTTTGCTTCATTTCAATGGTTAAGAAATGGCCTAGCTTAATACTAATGGTTAGAAACATATTCTTATATTTATGTTTTCCATTTATAATCATTTATTTTCTCAATGCTGTTATAAAGCGTCAGTTTAATTACTTTTCATATTTGATTTCACTGTGGGTATTAGTTTAAAGTGATGACCGTACATTCGAACCCACGTACATTTGAACCATGTACATTTGAACCCATGTGTATATCCGCGGGTTCAATCTAAATGCGGCTGCTAAAACCCATGGGTTAGGGTCACGGGTTCAGATATCCGTGAAACAAAAAAATTTCATAGGTGCATTAGTATGCAGGTGCACTTGCCGTGGGTTCAGATGTACGTGGTTCAAATGTAATGGAACCGTTTAAAATACAGTGAGAGATTCTATTTAATCTTGCTCTATTAGTTTCACAGATTCTTAGGCGTTCAATAATGCAAGGATGTTGCAGCCAGGGATGAATTAACCAGTAAGCAAACTAGGAACTTGCCTATGGCACCAAGGAAATGGGGCACCGCAGAAATTTTCATATACACTTTTCGATAGTGCCTCAGTGTTTAATGGAAAGATTGGTCAGCTTTGAAAGACGACTAACCAACTATTGGACCTTGATCATTCAAAACCCATCCCACGCGGATTAAATGGAAGTGGCTTGAACAAAACAAGTTTAATAAGAGATATTTGTGTTTGCCAGCGAGGAAATTTGGTGCTCATACAGTTCTGGTTCTTATAAGATCTAATGTTAGAATAGTCTTGTTTTATCCGCATGGGAATATATTCGAATGACTGAGGTTTATTTAATACAACCTAAGTGAGATGGAAGGCATGGGATTATGATAGTTAATTCCGACACTTCATTCACGAGCCTTTTCGCGCCCTATCGGCATGTAAGTGGTCGCTGAAGTCTTTTCTACCGATAGCTACTACATAACAAATACAATAAACTTATAGCGTTCTTTGGTTGAATTAAATGATAATTTTAATCATTATAATTTGTAATTCCTTTATTATTGTGGGAAACAAAAATCGAACCCAAGGACCTCATTCTTGAACAACACGGTCTAACCTCGTCTTTACCATCAGGCTGTGATAACACTTCATTCCATATTGCGATTCCCAATATCGTCTGTGTTTTACTTCGTTTACAAACGAATCCTTCATTGACAGTATCATCACCGCCTACCCAACTGCCGTCATACTGCTATAGACAAAAGAAAATATGGTTGATCATAGAATGAAATTAGAGTGGCCAACACGTCGATCGTCGCGTCTCGAGTAGTCAATCGCGTCAGATGTTTAGTGAATTTGATAACAAATCTAAAAAAATGGTTCGAATCAAGTTTCATGCAGCGCATGTTTTGTATTTTAATTAACGTGAGCAGCGAAATATTAACATCTTCTGGCGCTGATTGATCAAAGAGTCCTTGAGTGTCCATAAGAAGAACAGCCAGCTGAAAATTTGAATATGGGTTTACATGTAAATCGTAATTTTGTTGTGAAATAATATATTGTTAATAAAAAAAAACGTTGTTACGTAATTGGGAACTTTTGTTTGTGTATGACTAGATTCCCATGGCATAATCAGGTGTCGGCTTTGTTGCGTACAAATTATACCTGACTGTGCGTGAGGTCAAAGCAAAATACTTTATTACCGACAGGCGATAAGTGTCGACAAATTACTCGTAGTCTGGGGAATGATAACAAGTTGCGCGCCAATTCATATCAGTAGACATAAACGTGTTCCATGTTACTGTCAGTCTTGTATCGTATACGCCCAACTCTCAGATTTCTGCTAAGCGTTAGAAGTACGTTTTCTACCGCATCTCTGAATTTGCATGTTAGAATATCGTGGGTGATAATTATGTGCAAGAAGATGTCTGACTTGCCACCGTAGGTAGGGTGGTTCCCGTGGCCGCTTATCGGTTACAGCTCCCTCTTCTACCAATTTCATGCATCTGAAACACATAAATGACTGGCTGATTAATTCCACAACCGACATGGACTAGTGGCCGGTCGAGAAGCCGAGGTATGCCATATAAATAAGTCGTCTTATTGGATTTTCTCTCCACGTGGTAAATATATAAATCCTATCCTATCCTACTACACAAAATACCATTTGCATTTTCCTAGGTTACAAAATTTTATCGTTGGCTGTTAACTCGACTTGTTCAATTTCGTGTCAACTGCTATTTACTGATAAGCCCGCGAGAACATTTAAGGCTCTGTGTAAAGCAACCAGTGCGTGGAACCACTATATTATGGAAGGGCTTGAAAGAATTTTGTTCTTTCGCATAATCCAACTATTGGACCTGAGTCATTCAAAACTCATCCCACACGGATAAAATAAAAGTGACATAAACAAAACAATTTTAACAAGATATCTTATGGGGAAAGTGTTCACCAGAAAAGAAATTTGATGCTCATATAGTTATGGTGCTTATAATGTTCCTAAAAGATCTGATGTTAAAATAGTTTTATCCGAATGGGATTGGATTTGAATGACAGAAGTTTATTTGATCCATTTGAGGAGGAAGGCATGTCACGTCAACAGATAAGGCTGCCTAACCATATCGAGATGTAGAGTCGCTCATACTGTGACCAGACCACGTTGGAACGAGAATTTGAAACTCGAGTAGATGGAATATACAACATCGCCTTCCCAATCATAAAAAATAACTCACCATCATAGCTCGGTGATATCTCTTATATTGAAATTGAGTAAAAACGATTTCCAGTTCTCATTCGTCCAGGTATCGTTATGTTTGCCGAGGGCGATCACCTATCTCGGGTCCTAATATGACGGTCATGGTCTATTCTCATTTTGTCATCTTTCTTTCCTGTTATCAAAGTACTGAGTAACTTTTCCATCTACAAAAAATTATTGAATTTGTTAATGCAAGATATTGAATAGTATTAGTACTTTTCCTTATGCAGTAATTATTGCTAATAATCAAGCCATATTTGAACATATCCAGACTTAGTTATAATTGTTTTAAAAGAAGCATTAGTTTTTAAGCTATAAATGTGTTTTTCCATTCGTAATGACAACAAAACAACTGTTTTAAACGAGGCGCCAAAACGCTTAATTATAGTTTTTTAACGCATGGTGTTCCAAAATATATTAATACCAATCTTATGAGTTTCGTTTTTTTAAAAAGCGATTTTGTGGCATTTACAGTGATCCCAAGTGCGTACGTCTTCTTGTGAACATCACTTTAATCTGTTATAGGTCGATTCATAGATAACCCGATGATTTGAGACTCGCTATTAATATTGCTTTATCTACTGATCCAATCGAGATAGATGAAAATTCGTGCTTTCATAGCCTGGATAATATCGAAATCGAAGCAAGTCTGTGGAGAGATTCTTTGATATATTGCTAGATATCAGTGGCTGCTTTTATCAGGATTATTAGGATAAAAGACGCGATTAAGTGTCGTATTAAGCCATGTTAAATCAAAATTTGCTTCTCCCCTCAAAAACAAATAGGGATTGGCTCACAGTCACTGTTTTACGTAAATATATGGCATGGAATGTTTGTGTGCCCAAATCTGACTGTATATCAGCGAATAAAAATGTTTTTACGTCAAACGTTTAAATATTATTTCACCGTTACCTCAACACCGTCTAAAAGTATCGTTTGTTTAACGTTTAAATAGCATTTCACCGTAACTTCAATACTGTTAATATTCGATTTCCCTGAAGGTTTAGATTTGGGTTACAACGAGAGAATGACTTTATCTAGTCTTGCTTTATTAGTCTGACGGATTTGTAGTCGTTTACTAATGCAAGCATTTTGAAACCGAGGGTTAATTAACCATTAAGCAATATAAGCACTTGCCTAGAGAACAAAGAAAGGGGGCAGTGCATAAATTTTTTTGAAAGATTTATATAGTGCATCAGTGTTTAATGAAATGATTGGTCAGCTTGGTTAGTCAGTTCAGACCTCAATATTTGCCGGTTGAGATAAATTTTGCTTGAATATATTACCCAAATATCACCTTAACCCTTTCTATAAATATTTGTAGAACTATTATGAAAAAAAATATCATGTAAATTAAATTAGCCTTCAACAGTAAGGAATTTTGAAACTTGCTTTTTCAAATTTAGTTGACACGAAACATTAGTTACATTAATATTATTAATATGTTTTATATATAGGGCACCAAAGTCCTAGAGGCAATGATCAGGGTTTGGTTGTATTGACAATAGGTCTCCAGGTGATCAGTGGGCAAGACCATTCAAGTAAAAAGGACTGTATATATATATATAACAGTATATACACAGATATACTGCGTAATCAATAGCGTTTTACTGTGTATTAGTTACAGTGTAGAGCAGATCCGACTATCAAAAATACAGAAATATTTGGGAAAAACGTTCTGCGTATTTCTACTCCCAAACAAATGTTCTCTAGCTAGCTAGCCATTTCCAATTTTCAAAAATGAGCAGAGTTTTTGCAAAAACAGCTAACAAATTATAAGTGTTTTGGGAAATAAAATAAGTGTAAAAAACTGCTCTAAACGTTCCGTGAATTTTACCTCCAAAACAACTGTCCTCGCTAGCTAGTCGTTTTCTATTTTCTAAAATAAGCCAAGTCTTTGCGAAAACATTCCACAAATTATGATTATTTTAGTAAATGAAATTAAGTGTAAAGTACTGCTTGAAACGTTCCGCGAATTTCCATTTCCGCAACTATTGTTCTCGTTAGCTAGACCCGCGCCAAATTTTGCAAAAGCAGCCTCAAATTATGATTATTTCTGGAAATGAAATAATTCGCTTTATTCAATTCAACCTATTGACCCGAATTAATTTTGATGCTTTTAAATGGTTAAGCAATGTCCAAGCTTAATAATAATAGGTAAAAACATTTGCTCATAGGTTTTATATTTATAATTATTTATTTCCTCAATGCTGTTATAAAGCTTCAGTTTAATTACTTTTCATATTTGATTTTACTGTGGGTATTAGTTTAAAAATACAACTCGAGATTATAATCTTGCTCTATTAGTTTGACAGATTTTTAGGCGTTTAATAATGCAAGGATGTTGTAGCCAGGGATGAATTAACCAGTAAGCAAAGTAAGAACTTGCCTTGGGCACGAAAGAAAGACGGCACCGCAAAATAGATTTTCGTCAATTTTCATAGACGAATTTCAATAGTGCCACTGTGTTTAATGAAATGATTGGTCAGCTTGGAAAGATGATTCAGACCTCAATATTGGCTCGGTTGAGATAAATAAATTTTCGTAGCTATAAGATGAGAACTATTTCGAAAAACGCACCATGTAAATTAAATTAGCCTTCAATCAATAATGGATACTGAAACTTACTTTTTCAATTATAGATAATACGGAACACTAGTTACATTCCTATTATAAGTATGTTTCAGATATAGGGCACCAGTCCCATAGACAATGATTCGGGTCTGGTTATATCATCAATATTCAACAATGAGTCCCCAGATAATCAGTGTGTAGTCTACCAAGACAATACAAAGTAAAGATGGCTATACTGTGTAATAAATATCGTTTAGCTGTGCATTAGTTAGAGTTAGAATGTAGAGCGACTTTTCAGCATTTAGCAATATGTGCTAAAAACGTTCTGCGTATTTCTACTCCCAAACAAATGTTCTCTAGCTAGCTAGCTAGGAATTCCAATTTTCAAAAATGAGCAGAGTTTTTGCAAAAACAGCTCACAAATTATAAATGTTGTAGGAAATAAAAAAAGTGTAAAAAACTGCTCTAAACGTTCCGCGAATTTTACCTCCAAAACAACTGTCCCTCGCTAGCTAGTCGTTTCCTATTTTCTAAAATAAGCCAAGTCTTTGCGAAAACATTCCACAAATTATGATTATTTTAGTAAATGAAATTAAGTGTAAAGTACCGCTTGAAACGTTCCGCGAATTTCCATTTCCGCAACTATTGTTCTCGTTAGCTAGACCCGCGCCAAAATTTTGCAAAAGCAGCCTCAAATTATGATTATTTCTGAAAATGAAATAATTTCGCTTTATTCAATTCAACCCATTGACCCGAATTAATTTTGATGCGTTTAAATGGTTAAGCAATGCCCAAGCTTAATAATAATAAGTAAAAACATTTGCTCATATTTAGGTTTTATATTTATAATCATTTATTTCCTCAATGCTGTTATAAAGCTTCAGTTTAATTACTTTTCATATTTGATTTTACTGTGGGTATTAGTTTAAAATACAACTCGAGATTATAATCTTGCTCTATTAGTTTGACAGATTTTTAGGCGTTTAATAGTGCAAGGATGTTGTAGCCAGGGATGAATTAACCAGTAAGCAAAATAAGAACTTGCCTTGGGCACGAAGGAAAGACGGCACCGCAAAATAGATTTTCGTCAATTTTCATAGACGAATTTCAATAGTGCCACTGTGTTTAATGAAATGATTGGTCAGCTTGGAAAGATGATTCAGACCTCAATATTGGCTCGGTTGAGATAAATAAATTTTCGTAGCTATAAGATGAGAACTATTTCGAAAAACGCACCATGTAAATTAAATTAGCCTTCAATCAATAATGGATACTGAAACTTACTTTTTCAATTATAGATAACACGGAACACTAGTTACATTCCTATTATAAGTATGTTTTAGATATAGGGCACCAGTCCCATAGACCAGGGGTTCTCAAACTTTTGGTGTTGCGGAGCCCTTGAAAGGTTGAATATTATTCGCGGAGCCCCAAAATAAATTTTAAAATTGTTACTTTCAGATTATTATTCCCGAGCAAGTTAAAAGTACTTTATTTATTTTAAATGCTGAACCTTTTTTAATAGGGTTACCACAAGTCATAAATAAATCTTTTTTTTTTTTTTTTTTTTTATACTAAAGCTGTAAATTTGACACTTGACGAACATATTAATAAATTAAGGATCGAATCTTTTCTTTTTTGAAATTTTTGGAAGACTTGATTAAAAGGCCGTTAGTAACGTGCGCTATTTCATTTTGTTACAATCGCCGATTTTTTCCGTCAGCATGGCGTGTTTTAAACATCTTTACGCCGCTGTTTATTCTCCCTAAATCAAAAATTTCCCTCGGCATATACATGTATTGTTACACAATGACGACGTTAATTGCTTTTTTGTTCTCGTGGGGAATTATGAGTTCAATGTGAAAAACATGTTACCATATTATAGTCATCGGCGACGAAATGCTAAAAATAATAATCAATAAAAAGGTAAATCCACAACTCAAATTTCTTGATTGAAAAACGGCATTATAAAATATTTAAACTGAAACTTAAAATGGAAGATCACACTTTGGTTTCAGCAGACTCACCTCAGATTGAAAACGCTTCTATAGACATTGTAAATCACAAAATTTGGTGTTATGTTAGGTTTTCATCGTAGTAGCTGCGAAATCGAAACACAGTCAATTGTGCGCGCGATTTAACTTTTTTTTCATTCTGAAACTACCGACGCAGCCGCACGCAATCAATTGTGCGCGCGATCCGCGATGTACCTTTTTTCATTCTGAAACTACCGACGGAGCTGAATGCAATAAAATAATTTTCAATTGTTCGTATTTTCCCCAGACATTGTGATTTTTTAAACGGCGATATCTTGCTTAAAAATAATCTCAAGTGCGAAAGAACAAATCAAGTTTGACAAATCCCAAGATCGCAAAAATACGACACCAATTTATTTATAGTTGGCAGTTTATCACATATTTTATGTTATTTTAGAATAGTATTCTTACATTTTAGTAATCCTAATAGTAATCTCGAATCAAACGTGAGTAACGATGAGCACAACTACATTATACCGACGAGACACGTCAAATGCTCCATCGGTCTTGGATTGAATATTTTACGCAACAGAAATCTCGTTATCCGTTTTTTTAATCGCGAAAAATGTTGCGCGGAAATTTCCGATTCCAATTTTGAACCACCTCCCTCTTAAGAATCCTGGCTGCGCTACTGCTCATAAATAATGTCATTTTTTAATTCCGGCCCTTTACCATATTTCGAGGCTATATTGTTGTCAGATGTTATCAAAGCTGTTATTGCTTCTTTGAACAGTTACAAAATTTTGAGTCAGTATTTTGAAGAGTAATCGAATAGCTCGCGGAGCCCCTGGGTTACTTTCGCGGAGCCCTGGGGCTCCGTACGGAGCACTTTGAGAACCTATGCCATAGACAATGATTCGGGTCTGGTTATATCATCAATATTCAACAATGAGTCCCCAGATAATCAGTGTGCAGTCTACCAAGACAATACAAAGTAAAGATGGCTATACTGTGTAATAAATATCGTTTAGCTGTGCATTAGTTACAGTTGGAATGTAGAGCGACTTTTCAGCTTTTAGCAATACGTGCTAAAAACGTTCTGCGTATTTCTAGCCGAGTTTTTGCAAAAACAGCTCACAAATATGAATGTTTTAGGAAATAAAATAAGTGTAAAGTTCTGCTTGAAACGTTCCGCGAATTTTTACGTCCAAAACATTGGTTCTCGCTAGCAAGTCGTTTCAAATTTTCTGAAATAAGCCGAGTAATTGCGAAAACAGCTCACAGATTATAAATGTTTTATGAAACAATATCAGTGCAAAGTACTGCTGGAAACGTTCCGCGAATTTTAACCGCGAAACTTAGGTTCTCGCTAGCTAGTCGTTTCTACTTTTCTTAAATAAGCCGAGTTTTGCAAAAACAGCTCACAAAATCATTTATTTATTTAATATAACTTTGTTTCTCTCGTTTTGAATAAAATACAACAGTGCATTTGATAAAAAAGAAACAAGCGAAAAACGATTATATATTCTCGATACTTCGAGCATAGAATATCAGTTTGCTTGGGGACAAGAGCTTGTTGAGGTTCCAGAACCGAAATTAGTACTTTTCGAACCGTTTGTAATATATCGTTGAAAGTAGCTAAATCGTTTCTATATGCTATAGAATATAGCCTAACGCTTCCAATAGGCCATCGCGCAAACATCTTGGCAAAAAAAAAACTTGTCCAAATTGGAATGACTTAAAAATTTAAATCAGACACGATCGCGTCAATGATTGCAACACTTTGACTCGTGCATTTGCTTTGAATAAATATAATTTTAGGCTCCAACTTCAGCAATTTATCGAATAACCAGTATTGGATTTTGTCAATAATTTAACTGACAGGCAACATGATGTTGCATTTATGGAATGTTGAAAACCCTATATACGTTTTCATTTATATAATATTATCAAAATTTTTGCAAACCGGTTCTTGGAAAGTCCGCGATCTCGTTCCTGACCATTGAGATCCATTCATTTTCAAAAATGAGACCATATTGTTAGGGAATTTGACACAAGAGAGAATCCGTTTCTAAAATTTTGATGTTATAGCGACACGTAGGAAATTTTAAGAACATTTTGCAGGTTACACAATCAAGCCCTGTCTCGAACGCGCAGAGAGATAGCAAACAACATTCACAAACCCGTTAGAAAGTTGATCTTTATCACATTGGGATATCACCAACTTTCTATAGGGTTTCTTGGATGTTGTTCCATATGATTCCGCGCGTGCCAAGACTGGGTTTCCTTTTAACTGTGAGCTTCAAAGTCTCTTAACAAGATTGCTTGATTGTGTAAAATATTCTTTAGTTAAAAACGGCAAAGATGAAACAATATAAAATAGCGATAAAGAGTAAAACATAACCTGCAGTTGATTTGTGCGAGAGTGTCAAGTCGAATCTCGAATACGACCAAAAACTGAACGCGTCAACGCGTCGTGACCGAGAAGACCCAGACCTGGGGTCGCTATGATACCATTACCGGTTTTAACAATAATTCATAACTTGCGAGTTGCGACACTGGACCGTGCATTTTCTTTATTCTCTAATTTATATTTATGCACTAACTTAGTATTTCATCTCATTATAGGAAAAACTATCTGAACGCCTTTAAGTTCCAGGCCATGATGCAGAAATTTCTTGTGTCTCTCTTGCTGTCGGCTGCTGTAATGTCTATGTTGCTGGGTCAAGCATACGGCATCGATATTTGGACTTATCGTAATTTACATATTTTTTGCTTTCTACATAGGATATAACAATTGTTTTCAAGTTCTATAATTATCATCACATCAAATCTTGAAAACATGCAGATTACTTTTATGCAAAAGACGGATGTTTTGTCTTGTGCTTTGGGGTCCTCATTCCTGCTCAAACTCGGATTCAGTAGCTAAATTTTCAATCATAGTCAAACAAATTCGCATATGTATGAAAAATGGAAGTGACTTAGTTCCAATAATTCAATATTTATCATAATACCAAACACATATGACTGAATATGTCAATCACCAATTTTCCTGCATGACCGAAATTTGTCTTACTAGATTGTTGTAATTGACTCAGTTACATTGTATTTTCAATTTTGTTTATTGTGCAGCGGAATGTACAGAAGACACGGATTGTAGACCTAAGGAATATTGTGACATCTTTACGAATGGCTGCGACGATAAAGGTAATTTTCCACTAATTTGCAGCAATATCTATTTTCTACAGGAACCATTGGTCCCAGTCAATATGATCTCAGCGGTTGTTTGATCCCGGTGAATTTACACATACCAAAGTGACACCAATTTTATGATATTGAGTATTCAGTCTCACGTTGAACAACCAAAGTTGGAGCAATTACTTTTATCAGGAATGAACTGATTCCCATATTTGGCATGCTTTAATCAGATTCAACTTAATGTATTGATAATCAATTTACCCGGATGAACTATATTTGTCTTACCAAATGGTTGTAAATGACTCAGTTGAAGTATATTTCCGATTTGTCCGTTGTGTAGGTTTTATTGAAGACAATGGTCGAGCTCCTGCCCAACATTGCGACTAATCTTTATGGGTTTCACTCTCTAAATCCTTGCTTTTTACGAATATTTGCGTATGGCATCCAAATAGTCCGGCATTTTTTTGCATGGCCGTTATTTGTCTTACCTTACCAGATTGTTATGAATGATTTACCTACATTGCATTTCTAATTTGTTTTTGTGCAGAATGTGAAGATGACGACGAATGTGGACCTAAGCAATTTTGTCACGCCGGTTGGTTTGATTGCTACGATAAAGGTAAATTTCCACTATTTTTGCAGCAATATCTCTTTTTTACAGGAGCCATTGGTCCCAGTCAATAGGATCTCAACGGTTGTGTGATCTCAGTAATTTTAGTTTAGTTTAGGAACTGAATTCTATGATTATAAATGCATACCAAAGTGACACCAATTGTATGCTATTGAGATCAGAATCACGTTAAGCAACCAAAGTTGGACCCATTACTTTTTTCAGGGATCAACTGATTCCCATATTTGGCATGATTTAATCAGATATAACTAAATGTATTGATAATCAATTTTTCTGGATGACCGATATTTGTCTTACCAGATTGTTTCAAATGATTTAGTTACATTTTATTATTAATTTTTTTATGTGTGCAGAATGTGAAAAAGACGATGATTGTGAACGTGGGGAATTTTGTGACTTTAAGTACGAATGCAGTTCGGAAGGTAAATTTCGAATATTTTGCAAATATACCTCATTTCTACATAAACCATGGATCCTATGAGTCAATATGGTCTCAGCGGTCGGAAGATTTCGGTTATTAGGAAATGAATTTTATGAGAATAAACGTATACCAAAGTGACACCAGTTGTATGGTATTGAAATCAGTATCACGCTGAGCAAGCAAACCGGTACTCGTTACTTTTTTAGGATGGACTCTCTCTCATATTTGGCATGATTAAATCAGACTTAAATAAATGTATCGATAATCAATTTTCCTGTATGACCGATATTTGTCTTACCAAATTGTTGTAAATGACTTTATTAAAGTATATTTCCAATTTTCCTTTTGTGTAGGTTGTAATGGAGACAATGGTCAAGATTCTGGCCAATATTGCGAAGAATATTTGTGTGTTTCGCGCTTGTAATTCTTGCTTTTTACGAATATTTGCGTATTGCCTCCATATATATCATGCAGAAATGAGTGACCGCATCTTTTTTTGCATGGCCCGTTGTTTGTCTTACCAGTTTGTCTAATTCTGAGCAATTTTGAGATCAATCCAATAGAATTAATAGAGATCTATTTATGATATTATGCAACCACAATTCGGCCATCGGCCACAATATTATCGGCCCTATACGGGTCCGAACTGCATTTAGCATCAATCGCGAGTACATAGTAGCATGGGGATCACTTTTAAGAAACAAGTTTGGTTCATAAACTCAACTCCGAACATGCTTATGGTTGTTTTTTAAATATTTTTATGCGTGTTAGGAGACATTTTTAAACTCTAATATTCTCTTTTACCGGTATATCGGTATTTTCTGAAAAAAATATTTTGATTTGTTTTGAATTGTTTTTCCACTTTCCTAATTTGTCTTTCGAATTCACACAGAATGGCAATGGTATTGAGTCATTCAAGAATCAAGTTTTGCAAAGACAAAGATCAACGCAAACAGAGAAAAATAAATTTGACTTTGCTGAATATGGAATAAAAAAATATTCTACAATAATAATTGATCATTTTGTTAACTTTGCATTTGGGTCATATCAGAGAATTTAAAGGAACATTAAACAGCATTGTAATATATACACATCTATATTTATATGCGTATAACGTTCAAACGACTTACTAGATACCAAGAACGCGTCATCCGCCGTAGAAACAAACAATATGGGTCCAATATATGTATATTTTGGCAATTTTGGTGTCTGTTCTAGTGGTCGCTATTTTTGCCGATGGGATTCCGGTATATTGTCGGGAAAATGAGCCAAATCGTGGCGTGTTTTAGTTCAGGGCTGTAAACATTCAACCCCAATACAGCACGATCGACGCCGGCTATGTATCATCAGGCCTTACCGGTGGTGGTTGGAGTCGGCAATGTGAGATATTCAAATTTATTTAGATTCTGATATCCTTTATAGGTCGTCGCCAATGTCAATTGAAAATTGATTGATGTATCTCTGATCTTCGACACAAATTTTTCCTACACAAAAAGGACCTTATCATTTTGCTCATATTCTTCATATTATTGCTATTGGGGAATTCGTTTCTCACTTTAAAAATTAGTGTGATGACGTCATCAAGATAAAAAAATTGATCACCGTACGTACCGTGGTCCCCTGATCACATCTGAGCGATCGGGTGGTCAGACTACCGGTACTGGGAAATATACTATGCGATTTACATAGCATAGAATTTACAGACTAGCACTATCCACAAGGCCAACTAGCTCACGAAATAAACAAAGTTAGTTTGGTTGGATGATTTAATGTAGATGTCGACAACAGTATTGAATTTACGACGAAAATGTTTAACGACTGACACTTTTTAACAGTACTTTTCAAAAGTTTAAATAGCATTTCACCGTAACTTCAATACTGTTAATATTCCATTTCACTGAAGGTATTAGTTTGGATTACAAGACGAGATTACCTCTATCTAGTCTTGCAATATCAGGCTGACAGATTTGTAGGCGTATAATATTGCAAGCATGTTGTAGCCAGGGATGACAATTAGCAAAATAAAAACTTGCAAAGGGGATTAATGAGAAGGGTGCACCACGGAAAATTTCATATTTTCAATGTCGCCTTCATTTTTAATAAAATGATAGGTCATATTTAAGAAACGATTCAAATCTTAATAATTCTTGATTTATATCAATTTTACTTGTTTTTATCACCCAACTATCATCTTAAATTGCTCTATAAATGTTTGTGGGCATGAGAACTATTCAAAAAAATATAATCTAAATTAAATCCTTCAATCAGTAATGAATACGGAAACTTACTTTTTCAATTTCATATAACACGAAACACTAGTTACATTCATATTATTTTTATTATTCTTTATTCATAATAACGCTATGCTGGGCATTGGTTATAATGTGACCATTAATCATTAACAAACACGCAGATACATTTGCGGAAAACCTTCTACGAATTTTTATTTTCTCAAATAGTTGTTCTCGCTAATTAACCGTTTCCTTTTTTCTAAATAAGCAAGGCTTTGCAAAAACCTTTAAAAAATTCTGATTGTTTAAATAAATAAAATTATGTGTAAAAAACTGCCCGAAACTTTCCGCTAATTTTACCATCAATACAATTGTTCTAGCTAACTAGCCATTTTGTATTTTTTCAAATTAGCCAAAGGATTGTTTGCGGAAACTTATTTGAGTATTAAGTAGTTCGTAAGATGTTCAGCAAACCTATTTCCCAAATAAATGTTTTTGCAAGCTAGTCGCTTCCTATTTTTCAAAATTAGGCCGACGCATTGCAAAATAAAAAGAGTGTTAAGTACTGCTAGAAAGTTCCACGAATTCCCATTTCCGCAACTATTGTGCTCGCTAGCTAAACTCGCGCCAAAATTTTGCAAACTCAGCTTCTAATAATGAATATACCCGAAAATGAAATAGGATATTCGTTTATTTAATCAAATCTAATGACCCTCATTAATTTGCTCTCTTCCAATGATTACCCAATGCTCTAACTTAATTAAGTAGAAACATTTGCCTATGTTGATGTTTCATATTTGCAATCATTTATTTCTTTTATGTAACTTTTTTTCTCTCGTTTTATGTAAACTGCAACATTTGATAAAAAAAGAAACAAGCAAAGAACGATTATAAAATCTCCATACTTTGAGCAGGGAATATTAGTTTGTGTGGGACAATAGCTTGTTGAGGTTCCAAGACCGAAATTAGTACTTTTCGAACCGTTTGTTATATATCGGTGAAGATAGCAAAATCTTCTCTATGTCTTATATTCTAACCGTTAGAATCTAACGCTTTAACCGATAGGGCATCGCGCAAACATCTTGGCAAAGAATTAAACTTGTTCAACTCGAAGGAATCAGGATATCAGAAGTTCATTCATTTTTTTTTGCTAGGGAATTCGATTACAACTATCTTTAACGTAGACTTTTTTTCTGTCGCGGACTTCAAACCCTACGCGATTGCGACAAAAATAGCGAAACTTCAACTCGTGCATTTGTTTAAAAAAATTTCAGGCTCAAACATCAGCAATTTAGCAAATATTCAGTATAGGATTTTTCAATAATTTAACAGACAGGCGTCATGATGCTGCGTTTATAGAATGTTAGATTTTTCTGTTAGTAAAAACTATTCATAAATTTTCATTTGTATACCAAAATTTGCGCGAACCGATATATAAGATCATGACCATTTTAAGAAATGAAAAATGTGTTGCTAGATTCTGTTTTTACCGAAGTAAAACTTGTTCTTAATATTTTGATGTCACCATTGGTTGTAACGACCATTCTTCATTTGCGACACGATACTGTCCTCTTTTATTATTCTCTACCTTATGTTAAGCACTAACTTAGTATTTCTTTTAATTCTAGGAAAAACTATCTAAACGAGTTCGAATTCATGATGCAGAAAAAGTTTGTATCTCTCTTGCTGTCGGCTGCTGTAATGTCTATGTTACTTGATCATGCATACGTAGGTTAGTAAAAATCTATTTATTCAGTAAAATTTCATTTTATTGAACAACAAGGGTCGATGGTTTTAACTATAGAACTTTATTTCCTAGACCCGCTGTTTACAAACTTTTAAAAGCATAAAGTTCACATTAAAGATCACATACATGAATTTTGTTTAAAAAAAACAGTATATTTTGAGTGTGTCATGAGTTTTTGCCTTTATATTTTGGCGCCCCATGAACAAGAAGTTTGGAAACCGTAGGTCCTACATTCAACAGTTATGTGTGCCGTAGACACACGAAATTTTGCAATTTCCAATGCCTAGAAAAGCGTTTCTAGACTGTCGCGGAACTTTTATTGTTTACGGTTTTATTTTCAGTATTTTATATTGCCGCTTTACAATCAAAAAATTTAGATCGCGGATTTACTCCTTCATTTGTCTTTCGAACCCCGCCGCCGATGAACGTATACTAACTCTCACCGAATTCACAATTCCGTGCGAGTAAAAAATAAAATAATTATCATCGTTCCCGTGGCACAAATTTGTGATTTAGAAAGAATAAACACCAATGTAAAGGGCGTTTACTGCCTAAATAACACGCGACGTTGATGAAAACAAACGGCGATTTTAGCATAAGGCAATTGCACACATTATTGGCGACTTTTCCAGTTTTCAAAAAAATTCAAAAGGGCGAAGGGGAATTCGACCCCGACCCCTGGCTGCGCCACTGAGTGTCTCCCATAATGGGGTACGACTTAAAGTCCATAGAATACAGTATAATGTATTTCTAATTTTTCCTTAGTTGCCTGTGTTAACAACAATGATTGTGATTCTGGACAATACTGCGATTGGAATACAAATATATGTGAAAAAAGAGGTAAGTTTATACTGTTATCAACAAATATGGTAATTCTACAGTTACCAAGGTTTTAGCCCATATGATCTCAGCGGTTGGGTGATCCCGGTTTTTCTAGTTCGGGTTAGGAACTGAATTCTATGAGATAAACGCATACCAAAGCGACACCAATTTTATGGTATTGAGATCAGTATCACCTATTACATTTTTCAGGGATGGACTTATTCCCATATATATTTATTATTACATCAGTCAGATATAACTAAATGTATCTGTCATCAATTTTTCAGCATGAACGATATTTTGTCTTACCAGATCGTAGTAAATGACTTAGTTGAAGTATATTTCGAATTTGTCATATTTGTAGGTTGTAAGAGATACAATGGCCTAGATTCTGCCTAATACTGCGACGAAACTTTGTGGGTTTCGCTCTAGTAAATCAAGATTGTTACGAATATTCGCATATGGCCTCCAGATATAAGAGAAAATATAGACTGTCACTTGCAATACGCCAGATATTTCCCTGATTTAGTGGTCAAATTTGCATCAGGGAATAATGATAAAAAGTGCTTAAATGTCAGGGAATTAAATACCGTAAATTCCTTGCTACAAATCTTCGAGTTTTCAGATAATGCGCATACACGAAATCCCAATTTTTTTTCATAGATATGTCACAAGTAAGCATTTTTGTGCAACACGGATTGCATCGCATACAGATTATTGTGATATCACATATGACCTGAATCACCAGCGTTTTGTAATCAGTGTTTAGGTTGCACTATCGGTACCTTTAATTCACTCCTTGCTAGGGTTTAGTTGAAAATTAAGCAACAATTTTGCTCCTTTCGTTTTGTTCTATATTTATTCTCACGAGAAAGCGACGACAGCCTATGGCATGCTTTTTGCGACATTGTGCATTTATACCATAATATACGTGTTTTGATTGCAAAATAGGTCAAGGTGAATCATTAAAATTTTGTTGGAAATATGTCTTCCTGCATATGGTAACACTAATATAGACCGACAATTTTCATGCAAGTCCGTTTATTTGACTTGCAGGATTGTTTTGAATAATTTACATTGTATTTCTGATTTGTTCTTTGTGTAGCGTGTGAAGGACACAATGATTGTTTTCTTCGTTCCTTCTTCATTAGGCCTGCATGTTTACAAACTTTCAAATGCATAAAGTGCACATTAATGAGTAAAACATGAGTTTTATTTAAAACAAGCATATTTTAAGTGTGCTGTGTGTTGTTTTCTTTATACTTCGGCGCCCCACGAACAAAAAGTTTGTGAACCGCTGGCACACACCAAAAACCGGTACCGTTATCCAATTAAAACCCATTGGGTCTCATAGGGTCATTGCGCCATTTGTATAAATAAAACGCATTCTAAGAATATTATTAGCAACTGTCCTCTATTATAGGATACGACTTATAGATCATAGAATACGGTGTACTGTATTTCTAATTTTTTTTTTAGTTTCTTGTGTTAAAACCAATGATTGTGATCCTGGCCAATACTGCGACTGGTATACAAAGATATGTGAAAATAAAGGTAAGTTTACACTGTTATCAACAAATATGCTATTTCCAAAGATGCCAGGGTTTCAGCTCATATGATCTCAGAGTTGTCTGATCCCGGATATTCTAGTTTTCCGGTTAAGAACTGAATTCTATGATAATAAACCCATACCAAAGTGACACCAATTGTATGCTATTTAGATCAGTATCACGTTAAGCAACCAAAGCTGGACCTATCACACTCCTCATGCATAGATACATCGATGCCCATATTTAGCATAATATCAGTTAGATGTAACTAAATGTATCGATCATCAATTTTTCTGCATGACTGATATTTGTCTTATCAGATCGTAATAAATTAGTTAGTTGAAGTATATATATTACTAATTTGTCATTTTTGTAGGCTGTAATGGAGACAATGGCCCAGATTCTGCCTAATATTGCTACAATTCTTTGTGGGTTTCGCTCTCGTAAATCAAGATTGTTACGAATATTTGCATATGGTCTTCAGATATAACGGTAAAATATAGACCCCTGTCCGCAATTTTAGTTGTAAAATTTGCATCAGGGAGAAATGTTTAAAAGTGCTCAAAATGTCCAGGATTTTCAAATACTGCAAATCCCTGCAACAAATTCTCGAGTTTCCAGATATTGCGCATCCACGAAATCCTATTATTTTCAAAGAAATGTCACAAGTAAGCATTTTTGTGCAACACGGATTGCGTCGCATTCAGATTATTGTGATGTCACAGACGACCTAAATTGCCAGCATTTTGTAATAGGTGTTTTGGTTGCACTCCCGGTACCTGTAATTCACTCTGTGCTAGTGTTAAGTTGAAGATTAAGCAACAATTTTGCTCCTTTTGTTTTGCTCGATATTTATATTTATTCTTACGAGAAAGCGACGACATCTTATGCGTTTTGCGACATCGTGAATTTATACCATAATATACGTGTTTTGGTTGCAAAATGGGTCAAGGTGGCCCATTAAAATTTTGTCGGAATTATGTCTTTCTGAAAATGGTAACACTTATATAGACCGACAAGTGCAAGTCCATTTATTTGACTTACAAGATTGTTTTGAATGATTTAGTTATATTGTATTTCTAATTTGTTCTTAGTGTATGTGAAGTAAAAAACAATTGTTTTCTTAATTCCTTCTTCTTTAAACCTGCATGTTTACAAACTTTCAAAGGCATAAGGTACATATTAATGATCAAAAACATGAGTTTGATTTAAAAACAGCATATTTTGAGAGTGCCGTATGTTTTTTCCTCTGTATTTTGGCGCCCCACGAACATAAACTTCGCGAACCGCTGTTCTACGCCCAAAATCGGTACCGTTATCGCTGTAAAACCCACTGTGTCGGTATACTGTATTATTTTTTTTTTTCCAGAGACTTGTTATGACGACACTTATTGCGAATCTGATCAATACTGTCATCAACTTTTACGGACATGTGAACGTAAAGGTAAATTCATACTTATATCAACAAATATGTTATTTCTACAGTTACCAGGGTTTCAGCCAATATGATCTCAGCAGTTGAGCGATTTCTGTTATTTTAGTTCGGGTTAGACACTTAATCCTATGAGAATAAACGCGTAACAAAGTGACATCAATTGAAATCTGATGCGATCAGCAAGTATAACGTTAAGCAACTAAAGTTGGACCTATTACTTTTAAAAAGAAAGCCTGATTCCCATATTTAATATGACTAAATGTATCGATCATCAATTTTCCTGCATGGACGATATTTGTCTGACTAGATTGTTTTAAATGACTCAGTTACATTGTTTTTTTGTGCAGCATGTATAAAAGACGACGATTGTAAACCTAAGCAATTCTGTAACACCGATTTGTGGGCATGCCATGAAAAAGGTAAATTTCTAATGATTTGCAGCAATATCTAATTTCTACATGAAACATTGGTCCCGACCAATATGATCTTAGCCGCTGTGCGATTTCGATAATTTTATTTGTTCGGGTTTTAAGAAATGAATTCTATAAGAATAAACGGATACCAATGTGACACCAATTGTATGGTATTGAGGTCAGCTAAGCAAGCAAAGTTGGACCCATTACTTTTTTGAGGGATCAACCGATTCTCATATTATTACGATATCAATCAGATATAACTAAATGTATCGAACATCAATTTTCCTGCATGACCGATATTTGTCCTACCAGATCGTAGTAAATGACTTAGTTGGAGTATATTTCTAATTTGTCCTTTTCGTAGGTTGTAATGTATACAATGACATAGATTCTGTCTAATATTGCAGCGAATCTTTGTCCTGGGTTTCGCACTCGTAAACTCAGATTTTTACGAATATTTGGGTATGGCCTTCAGAAATAACAGAAATACAGACCGACAATTTTTCATTCATGACCGTTTATTAGTCTTAACAGATTGTTTTGAATGATATAGTTAAGTTTTAAAGGCATAAAGTACATATTAATGATCACAAACATGAGTTTTGTTAAAAACAGCATATTTTAATTGTGCCGTTAATTTTTTCCTTGCATATTCATGCGGTCCATGAACAAAAAGTTTAGGAACCGCTGGCCTACGCTCAAGACCGGTACCGTTATCGCTTTAAAGCCATTGTGTATTATAAGTAAGGCTGGGAATTTCAGGGAAAACACTTTAATCGTTAACCGGGTAAAATTGACCGTTTAACCGGTTACCCGCCGCGTGACATTTGACGTAATAATGTATAATTTCAGCTTGTTACGTCACAATGCTTATGAAGCATTATTCACGAATCGAGATAGTTTCATGGTTGCTCTGCTGCAAGAGATAGGCAGCGTGGTTCGGGCGGCGTGTGGAAGTATTTTAGAAACCTGATTCCGTTGTTAAACGTTATTTATGTGACAAATTATTAGTGTTTGATGTGCAAATTCTACTTCGAGATATATATCGAATAAAGAAAAACTGCGCACTTGTTGTATGACATTGAATATCCGATTTTGCAATGAAATCGGGAACAATATGTTTCGAAATCAACCGAAAACTGATTCTGAATTCATCATTGTCCAATTTCCATAATCAGCAATTTTGGTAATTCTCTTATTTTTCACATTTATTGAGTCCTTATTCACACGGTAATATTATTTTGAATTAAACGCCACAAGAGATAAATTTGCGATGACGTAATCATATTTGAAGAAATTGTACGGTATGAAGATGATTTGTACCTGAGATGTTAGTTAACGGTTAAAATAAATCGTAACCGTTAACCATCTGAAATCGGTTACCCGGTCAACCATTCCCAGCCCTAATTATAAGGCTATTGCGCCATATGTATGAAAAAAATCGCAATCTAAAAAAATTATCAACACTACCTATAATAAGGTACGACTTGTAGTCCATACTGTATTTCTGATTTTGCTTTAGTTGCTTGTTTTGTCGACGATGATTGTGCTCCTGGCAAATACTGCTGGCATGCTACAAGGCGTTGTGAAGATAAAGGTAAATTCATACCATTACCAACAAATATGTTATTTTCTACAGTTACCGTGGTTGTAGCTCATATCATCCCAGCAGCTGTGTGATCCCGGTTATTTCATTTTGGGCTAGGAACTAAATTCTATGAGAATGAACGCATAACAAAATTTACACCAATTGTAATGTATTGAGATCAGTATCACGTTATTAAGCAACCAAAGTTGGACTCATTATACTCCTCAGAGATAAACTGATTCCATATTTGGCATGATATAACTAAATATATCGATCATCAACTTTCCTGCATGACAGATTTTTGTCTTCCCAGATTGTTGTAATAATGTAATTGACCCAGTTACATTGTACTTATATTTGTTCTTTGTGCAGAATGTCAAAATGACTACGATTGTGGACTTGGGAAATTTTGTAGCACCGATTGGTGGGAATGCGTTGATAAAGGTAAATTTCTAATATTTTGCAGCGATATCTCATTTCTACACTAACCATTGGTCCCCAGCTCATATGATTTCAGCGGTTTTGTGATTACGGTTGTTTTAATTTGGGTTAGTAACTGAATTCTATGGGAATAAACGTATACCAAATCGACACTAATTGTATGGTATTGAGATCAATGTCACGTTAAGCAACCAGAGTTAATCCCATTACTTTCATCAGAGATGGACTGATCCCCATATTTATCATGATATCAGTCAGATATAACTAAATGTATCGATCATCAATTTTCTGCATAGCCGATATTTTTCTTATCAGATCTGGTAATGATTTAGTTACAGTACTGTATTTCACATACCATGAATTGCACTTTAAATCCTTTATTTCTCTCCAAAGGCGATCGTGCGACTTATAGGCCAGTTCACCTTCCCTAATGTATAGATCAGGTAGTGCTTGTTTGCCTACACCCCAAATCCATTGTCTCTCACAGGGCCATTGCGCCTTATGTGTGATAAAAACAAAATCTCAGAAATTTAATGGCAGTGCGCCTTATGATACGCCATACGGTATACAGTATTTCTAGTTTGTGTTTTTGTAGAATGTGAAGACAATAATGGTTGTGATTCCAACTACTATTGCGCACCGTCCATGTGGAGTTGTGTGAAAAAAGGTAAATTCATAATATTATACTATACTAACAAATATTTCATTTTCTACAGTTACCATGGTTCCAGCCCATATGATATCGGCATTTGTGTGATCCCGTTTATTTTGGTCCGGGCTAGGAACTGAAATCTATGAGAATAAACGCATATTAAAGTGACACCAATTGTATGCTATTTTGATCAGTATCACCTTCACACTCTTCAGAAACGGACTGATTTCCGTATATATTATGATATCCCTCCGATATAACTAAATGCATCGGTCATCAATTTTCTGCATGACCTATAATTGTTCTACCAGATCGTTGTAAATTACTTAGTTGAGGACAGCTGAGGTATATTTATAATTTGTTCTTCGTGTGGATTGTAATGGAGACAATGACCAAGATTCTGTCTAATATTGCGACAAATCTTTGTGGGCTTCGCGCTCGTAAATCAATATTTGCTTTTGGCCTCCAGATATGACAGAAAATATAGATCGACAATTTTTTATGCATGGTAGTTAATTTGTCTTACCACATTGATGTGAATAATTTAGTTAAACTGTGTTCTAATTTGTTTTTTGTGTAGAATGTAATACAAGAAAAGATTGTTACGATTGGGAATATTGTGAACAAGAAGAATGGCGATGCTATGATGATCCAGGTAAATTTATGTTTTGTCTGGAAAGTAGGAAGTTACTAAACAGTATTCGGTCGTATTAATTAATGATCAAATAATTCCATATTAAGCATATTACCAATCATATATAACAACCACAAAAAATTAGTCATATACGAATTTTGAGATAATAAAACACACAGATTTACGAGGGAAAGAGAATATTTAGTTACAGTAAATCTATAACTTATCTTAACAAAGAATGCAATTCTGAAAAAGTTTGCGGTTGATTCAATGCAATTTTTTGTAATAAAGGTAATTTTATAATATTATGCAACCCCACTTTCAATTTCTTTAACACCATTGGCCCTATACTGGTCCAAACTGAATTTAGAATCAATCCCAAGCACATATTAGTGTGTGGATCACTCTTAAGCAACAGAATTGGTTCATAAACTCAACTTCGAAAAAGCCTATTGTTGACTCTTAGGTATTTTCATGCGTGTTCAAGGGCATTTTCAAACTCTATCATTCACTTTCACCGATATATCGGTATTTTCTATAAATAATACTTTTATTTATTTTGTATTGTTTCCCACTTTCCTAATTTGTTTCATGAATTCACAAAGAAGAGATGGAAGAATAATGGTCATGAGTCAGTCAAGAGTCAAGTTTTGCAAAGAGAAAGATCAATGCAAACAAAGAAAATAAATTTGAATTTGTTGGATATGAAATAATAAAATATTCTACATAATATTTAATTTTGTTAACTTTGCAGCAGTTGGGCTTTTCAGAGCATAAAACATTAGAATATATATATAAAAGACGAATTATGGTCGACTACCGAGGCATGACTGTATTTCGAATTTTGAGTATTCGGTTAACAGGATATTTACTGCTAATTGTTAGGGAATCGATTACAAAATGTTTTTGTGAGAAAATGGTCAAGTAACAGGACACAATTTTATTGTATATATATATATATATACATACACTGTACGAGCAGATTTGTAAATTTAATCATGAACACAAGGGAAGTCATGCATTTTTTTCGGTGAAGCATTCTGACACAGAATAAGGTTTCAGAAGAGCGTGATTGTTACTGTTTCTGTAATGCATTTCGCATGAAGCGTAATGCATAAATTGGTCTTGTTCAGACGTTTCGCAATTTCCCCTACCGCCATTTCTAGATCGAAGAAAGTAGTTCCACAAAATATTGTCACTTTTAAATCATTTGAATTCCTTTATAAAGGCTCTTAAATTTAGTCACTTAAAATATTTTTTATTCTAGAGATTGGGAAATTAGCCTTCAAAACTCTCACGTGGTTGTTTTATCATAAAAAGCGTTCTCTCAACCCCCAGACCGTCACACCCAGACAAAAAGCAACAAAATAAGTAATCTGTGACTTGCACTTCCCACAGTGTCGACCTATTATATGTTCATAAAAACAAAACGCAGCAGATAAGAAACAATAATAGCAGCCGTGTCTGATCATAAAAAAAATCCAAATGTAATATAGTACCTGAAATCATGTAATAAAAAATTTATGACGTAATTATTATTATTGCTTTTTTTATGTCGCTTAGTGCAATGATTGATGATGTCTATGTTATATTCATAGTATACCAAAGTAATCTGAACAGTTATGTTTTTATCCACAAACAAACAGTCCAATGCAATCCACCTTTGGCAAGGCCCGACGATACATAGCCGGCGTCAATCGTGCTTTATTGATTAATGATTGTTTCTAGTTACGAACTAAAACACGGCACCATTTGCCTCATTTACTCGACAATATAATATTTCGATCCAAAATGCCCAAAATATGTTGTGTGGATGCCCCTTTAACAAATTCACTAATGAGCATATGCAATATTATACTACTTCAGTATCCGGTTAACCACACAATATCATCCGTATGTCAGTAAAAAAAATCTCGGTTATCCGAATATCCGCTATCCGGGTATTCCAGTCCCGATGAGATTTGGATTAGGAAAATATTTGGGTACTCCCAGAAGTATGAGAACCAAAATGGCGGAAACCGAAACGTAGTATGTGTACTAGGTTACTGTTACGTCATCATTTCATTCCAATTTTTTTATTTTATTTGTATTACGAGTTCGGAGACTAGCCAATTGACTCCTGTAGTATTTGTACCTGAAATCAAAGCCTAATCTCAACCTGATACACATACTACGTACCGCTGTCCGCCATTACATACTTTGGGAGCACCAATTTTTGAACAAGTGATGGATGTTACCCCGACCCTTGACCCCAGAACCATTTTCCCTACACTTGACTATTGAACTGTCGACGTTTATTTTGAGATTAAATTAAGGATTTAGTTTTTATAAACTAGTTTACCTGTTCAAAACTATTATTTTTAACCGAATTTAACCACAGGCGATTAAACATACCGAACGATATCTAATTTTAGCCTTGTCTATCCATCGCAGTATTTGCGGGAAGATATTTCGAATATTGCAACAAAACCAAAGCTCAAACATAAAGAAAATCCAAGTATTCAATTTGCAACTAATTTTTGGAAACACAATGAAAACTGACAAATAACACGGAAAACGACCAAATATGGCAAAACATCGGAATAAATCTTAAACAGGGAAAACTCCGAGCTCGAAATTTGTAATCTAAGCACTCCAGAAATCTCTTTCAAACCTTTCGGCATCATGTTTGGCTATACTGTAGATGGCGCGTTCGTTGGTATGTAGTAAAAAGTTTATACGTTATACATACATACGTGAGGAGATATATATATATTCTAATGATGTTTCATGCTCTGATATGCCCAAATGCAAAGTTTACAAAATGATCAAATATTGTCCCATTGTCTTCATTACTATCTACACAAAGGACAAATCAGAAATATACTTCAATTGAGTCCTCTGCAGAAATTTGGTAAGACAAATATAGTTCATCCAGGAAAATTGATTATCGATACATTAAGTTTGATCTGAATAAATCATGCCAAATATGGAAATCAGTCTTTTCCTAAAAAAAGTGATGGCCCAGGCGTCCAGCTTTGGTTGCTTTACGTGTGTAATTGTCATTGATTACGAAAGTGCACTAATGGCACACGTACCCGTGGGTTTATGTCCACTAGGTGTTGCGAGAGAGCAGTCACCTTCTTACTTTGGATAGTACCACGTGGTGTTAACTTGTGTTCTCGACGTACTGCGCGTTAGGTTAATGGATCTTTCCCGACATCAAATCATCCGTATTCTCAACCAATCACAAGCGGGCAGATGTAAACAAACATTCTCCGCTGAAAAGTTGCTCAGACAACTTTGGACGCGTTCCGCACAGCTGGCGGTTTAGGCAGATCTTTGTCCCTTTTTGTTTCCTTCACAGGGCTGCGAGAATTAGAAAGCTGTATACTGTATGTTACTTGTTGCAAATCACGTTCACGAAATCTATATATCTATACTAAAAGGTTGTACCCGTTGCAAGCCACCTTACAGGTACGGTACCGTACAGGTCAACCAACTGCTATTTCGAACCAAAAAAAAATAGTAGACAGTCATGCTGATGCAATCAAGGGTACCGGTAGCCTACCGTACCTATGTCAGTACGGAAGAATTCGTCTTCGATACGATGTTGCATTTTCATTAAACAGAATCTATGAGTAAATCATTTTGGTAGACTAATTATGTGTAAACGCTGCGCATATGGTATTTGTCGGTCTGGCAACCTGTACGGTACCCCTGCCGTTCCAATAGAGTAGGATTTGTGCCTTTTCCGAAGCCACATATTGACCCGCCAAAAAGCAATGAGGTGGATAAAGTAATGCAACAGGCAGGGATGGCCCATTTCCGAATACTAAACTATTCCGAATACATTCTAAAATAATGTTTTCGAATCTGGAATTCCGAATACATTCTAAATCAAAAATAACACCTTTTTATTTAGTTGATTAAAACCCCAGTAAATTAGGAAATAAGCTTCAATAGAAATATCAGAATGAAGCCACAGACAACAGTATATGTACACAAAGTAATTGATAGTTTATAGCTATTAATAAAAAATAATAGCAACTTGTGACACAATCAGTTTATTAATTTATTCACTTTTGTACAAATGACCATATGAAAAAGATAGCCAAGGAGTTGTCTGACGCTTTCTATCATTGGTACCATGATATTACGATAATAGTCAGTCTATTGACAAAAATACTACTTGTATTCAGATAATTGCCTTTAAAAATTCTAATATTTAAGCCTAGAGTATTCTACTACCTACCAGTATATTTGTATATAAATTTATGTGAACCATATTGTTATTATGTGTAACATATTGTTGTGTTTTGGAGTTAGAAATAAATTAATAGAGAATAGATGACGCACCACTGCCACGCGCAGCCAGGATTTTCGAAATCGGAAATTCTTCATTGGCCGCCTGTAACACCCACCGCGATTCCGCGCTCGTTAAAAGGGCCGTCTTGTCAGCGTATAATGATCATTCTGTTACGGTAAAATATTCATCCATGACAACTACGAGATTCTAAAATATCTTTCGCGGTTGCTTCTTCTTACCAAGGGATGGCCATTTCCGAATTACCTAAACTATTCCGATACATTCTAAAATAATGGTTTTCGAATCTGGAATTCCGAATACATTCTAAAATCAAAAATAACACATTTTTGTTTTAGTTGATTAAAACCCAGTAAATTAGGAAATAAGCTTCAATAGAAATATCAGAATAAAGCCACAAACCAACAGTATAATGTACACAACAGTAATTGATTGTTTAATAGCTTTCAATAAAAAATAATAGCAACTTGTGACACAGTCGGTATATTAAAATTATTCACTTTGTACAACTGACCATATGAAAAGATAGCCAAGGAGTTGTCTGACGCTTTCTATCATTGGTAACCCATGATATTACGATAATAGTCAAGTCTATTGACAAAAATACTATTTGTATTCAGATAATTGTGTATATTTTCTGAGAGTAATAAATTTATTGGCAATACAGGCAACAACAATCGAAAATCCATTATGCCTTTAAACATTCTAATATTTAAGCCTAGAGTATTCTCTACCTACCAGTATATTTGTATATTATTTATGTGAACCATATAGTTATTATGTGTAATATATGTTGTGTTTGGAATTAGAAATAAATTAGTAGAGAATAGATGACCACCACTGCCAGCGCGCAGCCAGGATTTTCGAAATCGGAAATTCCCATTGCCGCCTGTAACACTCACCGCGATTCCGCGCTCGTTGAAAGAGCCGTCTTTTCAGCGTATGATGATCATTCTGTTTAAGTAAAATATTCAATCCATGACAACTACGAGATTCTAAATATCTTTATATATTAATTTAATGTGTCCAACTTAACTCGCGGTTGCTTCTTCTTACGTCAAAAAAAGAAACATTACTATTCGGTCCACGGCGATCTTGTGACCTAAAATTACGAGATAAACTGCCTGATGTATTTAATTTTTATACGTATTTTTGCAATCTTGTCAACTCGTTATCGCCGTTAGAAAAATCTCAAACAATTATATAAAATCCTGTTAAGTGTAGAGTATAATTCATTTCATACAATGAATATACATATAAAGTTTAGCAGTAAATTAAAAATACATATTCATCACCGCGATTAATGCCACCTGTTAAAAGAGTCGACTTTTACAACAATAATATAACAACGAATATATATTTTTCTGTTGTGCAAAGTGATGAATTCGTGACCGACACGGGCATATTTAAAATATCCTGCTCTTAT